ATATATGCTGACTCTGTAAACCGCTTAGAGAGGGCTGAAAGCCCTATGAAGCGGTACATAAGCCTAACTGCTATTGCTATTGCTATTCTAAGACCAGCCTGATGCTACAATCGGTCTGGTGCTGGAGACAGCTATTATCCCACATTATCCATAGGATTTCTAGGCGAAAAACAGTAAACTGAAGTACAACGAAGAGCTGGCAAACAGACCGGCTCCTGCGATCCCTCTCAGAACATGAAGAGGACTTGTGATCACCCACAAGTGCTCTGGGCAGTCGCTCCTCACGAGGAAACCGCAAGATCGGTGTCTCCGGGGGTGAGAGTGTAAGAGCTCTGGGGGAATGCCATCTCTGCTCAAACTGTGGTCAGTGCTTTTATAGACATAGGGATCACCTACTACCTTTTCTAATAGGTTTTGGAAATTTCTTTTTAATTGCTTGTTATTAGGAATCTTTGCAACAAGGTTTTAGTGTACCAGGTGAGTTACCTTTAATTCTTAATAAAAGAAGTTTTAAATACAAATTTAAGGACTTTTTAAAACATTTTTCTGAATAAATAGCAAAAGCACGATTATAATATTGACTTTGAAAAATTATACTAGGGGTCCAGATAGATTTGAAATAAGATTTAAAATTTAATTATAAGGATTCTTTTCACAAGAAAATGCTGTTGTTTTGGATTCTTTTTTTAAAAAAAATGATAGGATGAGACTTTGAAGAATGCCCATTAAAAGGAACCAGGGAGATCTAAAGATTACAATTAAAAGAGAACACTTAAATTTGACTTACTAATACAGAATGGAACAAAATATTTTAACATGGGACATACTGAAGAATATATGTGAACAATGGATCCAGAGGTTAATTTTAGGAACTAAAATTATGGAAGATGAACAAGATTTACCAAACAAGACTGAGACTGACCTAAAAGTGGATTTAAAAATGAAAGGCCACAATAATGATATGGAAAAAGTTGTTATGCTGGACATACAAATGAAACCGACTGATGTCTTAATAATAAAAAAGGATGTACAAATAAGAAACCAAGACTGACTTGGATAATTTTCTTACACTGGATTTACAAAAGAGAATATTTCCCTTTTCTTTGTCCATTACCACTGAGTATCCTGTTGAAATCTCTCATATCTGATCATAGCAAGTGGTATCCCCCTCCTCACCTCCAACTCAGAGGGCTAAAGGAGAGTTTGAGAGGTCCTTGGTGCTCTCTGAGCTTGGCTGTTTTCTTGCAGACGTTTCATGACTCAAACTAGGGAACAGCATCAGGGCAGTTTGGGGAATGAAGAAAACTGCAAGAAAACAACCAAGCTCAGAAAGCACCAAGGACTCCCCCCCCCCCCCCACATTTCAACCTTCTCTGTAGAAGGGAATCTGCCTTTGCGTCAATGCAATCTGGGACCACACCTGTCCTGGTCAGAGAAGCACGAGGGCCCACCTGCAGAATCACAGACTTTTTCTGACAGCATTATCCTGGCATAACGCTGCGTCTCTGGTTCCTTCAGCTGGCCTGTTACACAGCACCCTGCTGTCTTCTGCATCTTCTTATTCCAGGTGATCTCCATTCTCTCAGGCAGCTAAGAGAAATAACAGGCAACAAGAGAGACTTCCAAAGCTATAACTGTTGGGCTGAGCTCTTAGCAGATGCTCCTTTTGCTGCAGGTTTCACATTCCTTGTTGCAGAAACCTGGGTGGGAGGCAAGCGGCAGACATCGGCACGGGGCCAAGGCCGAGATGTGACTCCAAATGCCGGGTCAAGGTGGGATTCTCCACTGCCGCTTGGCATAGAAGCACTGCCCTCGAGCCACCCACTTGGATCCAGCAAGCCGTTCTGCCCACACTACTGCCAAATGGCCAGCTTGGATGAGAGAGGCCAATTTCCCCCACCTGTCTCCCCTGGAGGAGAAAGAGGGAAAAAATTTTCTCCAAGTCTGGCTGGTCTTGGGCAGTGGGCCGGTAGCATGTGGCAGGCATTTCTTCATCTGTCTCCTGCCACAGCCCGGCACTAGAACAAGAGCTGCTTCCGCTTCAAATGTTTGGCTGAGGAGAGCGGGCTTCGGAGAGGAAACCACGATGGAAGGGAAACAAAGCTTTTGGGAAACTGAGCCAGGCAACGTGGATCCCCAGCTAACAGTACCTGCATCTATAATCCCCAAATTCCCTACCTTTCCCTCAAAGATAGAACGGTTGTAAAAAGAATACAGCCTTTGAGCCAGCCCTTCTTTCTCGCTCCGGAAATGTTTTGCTAGTTGGGATTCTGGGTCTGACAACTCCTGCAGGAAGCAGCCCTGGACGTGGCAGGGTCCCCTGGGAAGAGAAAAGCCGAGAGACAGCTGGAAGAGCAGCCCACCCTCCTCTCCTCCTTGGGGAGGCAGGACACGGCCATCCTTGCCTTCAAGGCCTGCCTCGGATAACACAGCTTTGAGCTTTCCACCCCAATCAACGTTTAATCCTGAGAAGCAGGTTGAAAACATGAATAAAATAACGTCTCTCGAAGAACTGGGCAGGACTGAGCAACTTTCAACTTTCCATCCATGATTGCCTGAGCAGAGAAGCCCCTGAAATGAACATTAGCCTGTTTCTAACCACAGAACGCGCAGAGACGTGTTCTATTTCCTTCATCCCGGTCGTTCTCCCCATATTCCAAATATTATATATTGCAACAGAAATACCAGGCCAAAACTGGGATATTAAAGGCACTTGTACACAATGTGTATTATTCCTTTGCTTGTGTGTGCTGTGGGGGAAATCGGTCTTCAGATAACTAGGCTTAAGACAAAAAGACAATGTCTAACTCACCGTGGCCAGTTTTAAGGTTTTATTAGAACAGTCCCACCACAACTCCTGAATCTCAAGAGGCAAACGGTCCTTTTGACTAAGATGCAAATGTTTTCTTTAACTGAAACCACAGTTATCTCTGTGGATAACAGATGGACAGGAAGTAGCCCGAGATCTATAACGTCATTAGGAATATGTATGCGTGCATCATTTCCCCCTCCCTTCTGAAATAAATAAATAAATATGAGCTCATCTCTTTCTCTGCAGAGGTGGCTCCCCCACTACTCTGGAGGTTGCAAGGCTCTGGATGGATGCCGCGGGGCTTGGAGTCAACCCAGCAAGACGGAGTGGCTCTGGGTACTTGGGCCTTTTGGTGACAAGGTTCTTCCACTAGTCCTGAATTGGGTGGCACTGCCCCAGGCAGACCTAGTGAGAAATCTGGGGGTCCTCGGTTAGGTTGGGTACCCTTTAGTGGTCAAAATGAAATATTGGAAGAACCAAGCATCCTAGAAGATCAGAAGCCAGATGGCGGCTTTCCCACCGTGATTCGCCTGTCTCTTTAGAAATGACGCCGGCCTCCCCAGGGAAGGATTCCCTGACGATGGTGAAGGCCGAGGAGGGTCTTTGGGGAGAAACTGGGCACCATCTTGAGCTCTATTTGCAATTCAGAAAGTAGCATTGCACTGTATTTTTTGCAGCTTATTTTGATCTGTGGAAAACCCAGCGGTTCTATTTTGGCCAGCATGAATCAATTACAATCCATTACTATTCAGCAGCATATAAGTTTGATAAACAAACAGAGAAAGAAATATACCTAGAAGGATCCAGGTCCAAACAGTGCTAAATTATAAAAACACACATCAGCAGATGTCAGCCCCTTAAAAAGTTTTCAGCGGTCTCAAAGCCACTTTGCAAGTTTTCTTCGCTCTCTGTGAAAATGTTTCCCCCAACGGATGTGTGAAAAATTGGCCAGCCATTTGGAGCCTGAAAGTAATAGTACAGAAGCGGCAGAGACTCACCTCTTTGGCGTCTGAGTAACTGACTGAGTAATATCCACGAGGGCCGTGCTCTTGGAAGTCGCAGGGGAACGTGGTGCGCGAGCAGGAGCAGGGATCCCGGCTGCTGAGGAAAGGCTGCCCTCTCTCTTGGCAGCCGCGGCTGGGCTCTCAAGGAAAGACCCCAGGCCTCTCTCCTCTGCAAGTGGCAAAGAGGACGCTCAGCACGGAGCTGCCAATCAACCTGACCGGGCCTGGCCCAGCAGATGGGAATGGCGGCAAGGCAAAGGACTGCCCGCGTTGGCTTCCTGATTAGGTCACCCCGGGCAGCTCTTCCATTCCCAAGGCCCAAGCGAGGAGACCAAGGGCGGAGGACACAGCAGGACAAAGAGACCAGCTGTAACAGCCTGCACAAACCCACAGGCACTGTAACGAAGATGGGCCTTTATCATCCTTTGCGGAATGGCCCAAGTGGCTGAAACAACGGGGAGGACTCGAAAAGGGCTGGATTTACACTTCCCTCCCTCCTTCCCTCAACTCGAAATTCTACAGAGAGAGCTTTCCTTTGGCCTATTACTGGAGGCAGGAAGACCCAACACCACACAACAATATTCCCACCACCGAGAGCTTTATTCCAAGGTACCAGTTACGGCCCCCCACCCCCACCCCCGTGCTCATCCTCCCTCCCAGCTCAAACGTGGGTTTCCTTGGGGTCCGTGCTCCCATAGGGGTCCAGGAAGAGGAACGGCTGCCACAATGGCACACACCCCTGAGAGGCTTATTGCTTCCGATCCTGAACAACCTACACCTGCCACAACTCCTCCAAAAGCCCTCCTGTACGCACGGCCCAGCCAAGCCCTACACCGGAGTCAGCCCGGGAAAGGGCCGCCTCTTACCACGGGGGCTTTGCGGGCTCCCGGCCCTCTTGGCTTCGGGGAAGAACATCCTTTGCTTCATGCGAACCACAAGGCTCTCCATCTCCTCATCGGAGCTCTCCAGCTCCCTTGAGCTCTGCCGCTGGCTCTGGGGGAGGAAAGTGTCTGGCCTCCGCCAGGAAGCAGCAGAGCCCCTCCGGGGAGAGGTAAGGAACAGGCGATGGGAGGGATTCCCCGGGAGGCCTCCGACAAAGACGGGATTGTCCTCACGGTCGGGGTCACTGAACGGGAGTGGAGAGAAAACAGACCCAGCAGAGCAGGCAGGCGCCCTTCCAGCACCATTGGAGGCTTTTGCTGCGTGGAGAGGTCGTGATTCTGCAACAGAACAGATCAACAGAATTGGAAGGGACCTCAGAGGTCTTCTAGTCCAACCCGCTGATCTGGCAGGAAATTTCTCCTTAGTTTTAGATTGCTTCTCTCCTTGATTAGTTTCCCTCCAATGCAATTAAACATTCTCAACATTTTATTTATTTATTAAACTTTCATGCCACCCACATCCTCAAAATCCTGTCTCCTAAGCCTGTCTTCAAACGGAGCATTTTCACAAGTAGAACAGGGCTTCCCCGGAGTTCCCCTTGAGGGAAATGGCTGGCCGCTCACTTCCTTCCCAGTCTACCCTACAATGCTGCCTTTCCTGGTGGCGCCTCGTCCACACATAATCCCTGACAGTTTTATGACATCAGTCAAAGTTAGCTTGGCATCATGAACTAGTTGGGCATAAGTTTTACATAAAACTAGTTAGCCCATGATCATGGGGGTCTCATTTATTTCAAGTTCATGGCAGCAACCAACAACAAAGGAGACTCTTAAGATCAGGCCAAATGTCAGCCTGCCTCTTTACTTTCTTTCACGCCAGCTGCCATGGAAATGGGGTGCCACCACCACCACCCCCGAAAGCGATGGGTATTTGGGAGGGGTTGCGTGCAGGAGGTGAAAGTGGAATTTCTGAGAAGCGATGAGGAGGCCTGGATTCAGGCCAGCTCGGGTTGTTTAACATCTTCAAGGCCAACCATCCTGGAGGAGCGATGCACCTGGACCAGAGACATTCCCAAAACATCTTCCTGCCCAATTTGTCTCTTCAGGCACATTTTGCTTCAGACCTTGCCTGACTTTTGCTGCAATCAGTTCTTTCCTAGTCAAAGTACCTTTTCTCTGAATCTATGGAGTCAAAGGTTTCCTTTCCTCGGGATTGACCAGAGGCAGCCCTGACACCAACAATCAAGAGGTAAACTATACCCCAATCAAGGAACTGCCAGACAAGCTGACAGTAAATAGTCCAGCCCAAGAATCTCTAAGACCACCCACATCCCCACTGATAGGACAATCCATTAGAATGTAAACTGAGGGCAAACCCCACTCCCTACTAACACTGATGATGCTACCTAGCTTGGGTAACGAAATATTTGCAAGAAAATAGAGAGCATCAAATGAGAGTCTGCCGGCACCTTTTCTGCAGATGCAGCCCGCTGACCCTTCCACTAGGTAAGGGAGAGGGAGGGCATGGCACAAGGGTGTTTAGCCTTATTCCCAGGGAATTTAACTGAAAGACTCTGGCCCTTTAGCGTGGCTGCAAGAGTGCCGTCCAACAGCAATCATAACTTTACAATCTCCTTCAGTCGGCATTTCCAACTGCTGTGCAAAAGGGGCTGCCTTGTACCAAATCGGATGCTGAACCAGCACTCTCCCTCTTTAAGAATTTGGGAAAGGAAAAAGCAGATAAACTTTGCCAAGCCCTGCTCCCAAAAGGTTGGGGGTGGTTGACTCACTTGCCTTTTGCTGCAGGTCCATGCTTATCTTCAGGAGAGCTAAAAAAATTCTCCTTTGAACTTTGCAGATGGAGAAATGGGAAAAAAATAGAGTTAAGAATTAGACTCTGGAAGCAAATAAGGATTTTTAAAACTCCTCCCTTCCCACCCGAGGAGGTTAGCAGGCCCTGCAGCCCAAGACTTGTGAAAGGCCCACCTTTACATCCCTGAACCCTAAACCCAGGCAGACACTTCTTGGACCTCAAAGAGGCCCTCCCAAAGCCCCCCCCCCCCAAACCAAATGTCAGGCGCAAAAGGGCAGATCCATGTGTAACTGATTTACAGGAATCTTCTCAACTGATGGCCGGCACTTCGTTAGTTAGATAAAGGTCCGTCAGGAGGGCGGGTGTGTGTGTGTGGGGGGGGGGGGGTTTGGACTTTGCTTGTGGCTCTCTAGTGATGCTAGGATAACCCCAATGGTCCTTTTCCGTCAAGAGGCAAATGGACTTTCTGGTTTTTCTCTGAAGACTTTGAAGTTTCGCTTCTCACCCAGGAGGTTTCTTCATTTCTGACTGGATGGTGGGGAATGAAAGGATTTATATTCCTTGCAGATAGCTGGTCATTTGCATTCTTTTAAAGAGTCGTTGAGGTCACTTCGAGGTTTATTTGTATCCTCAGGGTCACCTGAGTGGTGCAAATGGGTCAGTTCTGGTATTCAATTTTTTTTTACTACCGGTTCCGTGGGCTTATTTTGTGGGTGTGGCTTGATCGCCATGTGACATGGGCGGGCTTCGTGGTCATGTGACTAGGGAGGCGTAGCTCCAAAATCTTTTCCAAAGAGACTTGGGGATCAGCATGTAGGGTAGATGTGACATGTGCTGTAACTACCCCTTCAAAATCAACGCGCCAAGAGTGCGCCATTGCTCGCTTACCCGGCTGTCATGTCCACAGTGTAAATAACTAAATACGCCATTACTAAGGCACCGGGACCTTTCTGCCACCGGCCTGTTGAGGCTGTGGGCTCCTGCTCCCAGAACTGCTCTCTGGCCAGCGGCTGCTACCAATGCAGCTCCCGGAGGTTGCCATGAGCCTCTCCAACTGCTTGACTGTGCCGGGAGAGTGTGAGGCCAGGCACGGAGTGAGATAGCCGTCCAGGAGGACCTTGCCTTCCGTGGTGTCAGACTGCTCTCCCAGCGAGGTAGAAGAGAGAGAGAGAGAAGCTGCCTGGCTGTGAAGGGACAGGGAAGCAGTTGACTTCAGGGCAAATGGGAACGGCTTCCAGCCAGAGAGAGGCTCCGGGAACAGGAGCCCGCAGCCTCGCCAGGCCCTGGTGCCTTAGCGATGGCCTATCTAGTCAACGTGGTCATGATAGCCAAATAAGCGAATGCCGGCACACTCTTGGCGGTGGGTGAGCTCCAAGCGGCGGTGGGGATGAGCTCTCAGCACTTTTCCCAACAGATGCAAGCAGTTTATAGCAGACGAGCGGCAGGAAAATCTCAGGGGAGCCTCACTGACCTTTTGCCCGCTGCCTCGAGCTCACCACCACCACCCCGCCCCACCACTTGGAACTCCAGATGGCGAGCGGGGCGGTGGAGGCAAGCTTTCAGCACTTTTTCCCAACAGACCCGGGCGGTTTATAGCAGATGAGCAGCAGGAAAAACCTGGGGGATCCTCACTCACCCTTTGCCCGCTCCCTGGACCTCCAAGCGGAGGGAGGGGGGGACGGCAGCGGCAAGCTCCAAGTGGCAGGGGGGGAGGGCGGCAGCAGCAGCAGCAGTGGGTGAAAGGTGAGCTTTCCCTCCAAGCTGGGGGGTCCCCTGCAACACCAGCGGCTTCAGTAGACACTAGCCTGGCGGGGGTGGGGGGTGGGGCAGCCCGACAAGCTTCAAGCCATGCGAAGGCTTGGGAAGGGCTTCGGTGTACATACTGTACATTGGTCAAATTATTTATTTAATTTACAGGATTTACAGGATTATTAAGGTAACTGCAAAAACTATGCAGAAATGAACACGGCTCTTTTAAAATTTTGTTTATTAAACATAAATCACACACCCTTTGCCCAATCAGACCTTAAAATGTTTAAAACCGAATATGTTTCAGAAAGTCCAAATCAACGTAAAGTACTTAATTTCGGACATACCTGCTGTTTCTTGTCCTTGGTGTGCAACATGAAGCAGATCTGGGGAGTCTCATCCTAGACAAAACTAAATCAAGCCATAGAAGGAAACAAAATGATTAAAGTCTCCAAAAGACAACTTAAAAGCAAATTAAATTAAGAATTCGCTTCTCTTTCAGGCTCTTTCGGGCCTAATGGGAAGGCCACGAGGCTTAGCAAATATCTCACTTAGCAACAGTAATTTCGGGCTCAATTGTGGTCATAAGTCAAGGACTACCTTAGCAATTGACTCATATGTAAGGTGGGAAGGCAAGAGGGGAACGTAAGTAAATGCCGCATCTGCTTCAAGGTCACCTGGCATATCAAGCTGCATACCGTCCTGTACTTGGGACTGATCATTTTGAAAACACCCTGCCTGAACCCGATTGGCTACACGGAGTGGGCAATGGGAGGGACAAGTTGAATTTAGAGACAGAGTGGTCAATGCCTGGAATGCTCTGCCTGACTCTGTGGTTTCTTCCCCAAACCCCCACAAATTTAACCTTAGACTGGTCTACTGTCGACCTCACCCCATTCCTAAGAGGTCTGTAAGGGGCGTGCATAAGCGCACCAAAGTGCCTACCGTCCCTGTCCGAATGTCCCCATTTATTCATTTACTGTGTTCATAATCATGTTTATATTGTCATCTTATACATGCTTGACAAATAATAATAAATAAAAATAAATAAATTTTAGCGTGTGATTTTCAGTTCTGGCTTTGAAGTGCTGCAATATACTTCACTATATCTTTCTCAACAAAAAGAGCCCAGGGTCGTTTCTATTTAGAGGTTTAACTTGCAGGTCTGACGTTTTGCGACCTTCTGAAAAGCAAGGTCAATGAGGAAGCCAGATTCACTTCAGAATCGTGTTCCTAACTTAACAACTGCAGTGATTCACTCAACAACTGTGACAAGAAAGGTCGTAAAATGGAGCAAAATTCACTTAACGAATGTTCCATTTAGCAACAGAACCTTTGGGCTCAACTGTGGTGGTAAGCCGAGGATTGCCTGTAGTAGAAAGCAAGCAGAGAGGCAAACAGAACTGAAAGTCATACTGCCCCCAAGGTGCTTCCTGGACTTCTGCAGGTTAACTTTTACATACTTACGGTTCTCAAATTCCTCGTCGCTGCCTGAAGACGATGAGCTGTAAAACAGATGTGAGAGGAGGACGATTGGGGGCTAAACGGCCGAGAACCAAACTCTCCGGCTGCAGGGAAAAAAGGCGCTTCCATGGGGCACAGAGGCCCTTTGAAAGGCAGGCAACGCTCCCCAATCAAAAGCCCTGAAGGAAACCGAAGGTCCAGGCCTTGGACTGGACACCCCCCCCCCCCCCCCCCGCAACCCGCCCCCCCCCCCCCCCCCCTGTCGAAGCTCTCCGCCCTCCACACCCAACGCCCTCCTCGGGGCAACGGGGAGCAGCTCAGCCCGCCCGCCCCGCTTGGCGTTCCCAGAGGTCGCCCTCGAAACCGGGCATCAACCTCCTCACGAAGAGTCCCCCGCCAGAGCCGGAACTGCGCTCACCCTCCGCGCCGGGCCATCGCGCCAAGGCCAGGACCTCCGGCGGGCCGGGAAACAGAGGGCCGCTCCTCGAATTTCCCGCCTCGGCGCGCGATGATGACGCGCCCGCGGCTCCGACCATAGAGAGGGAGGCCGCTCCCCACAGGCGGTGGGCGGAGACCGGGGCCTCTCCCGGCGCGGTGATGGCGGCTGCCGCCTTCGGGTCACCCACGACCGGACTCCGCGGCTTGCGCGCGGAGAACCGGAGAACGAGGAGCCTTTCGGGAGAGCCAACCGGCGACGGGCTCGCAAGACCACCAGGAGGCCTGCGTGGCTGAGGCGCAGCTGCGGCGCGAAGGCCGAGGGCGAAATCAGAGAGAAGGTTTCGCTTCCTCCAGAAAGCGCCGGTCCAGGTGGAGGCGCGCCCCGGAAGGAGCCCCAGAGGGGGGGGGGGGTGCTCCTTCCACCGGATCGGGCAGCCCGAGGCTCCTGGGTACGTGGGGCAGCCGAGCCCCTCTCGGAAGAGAACCCCGAGGGCTTCCGCAGGCCCCGAAGAAGGCGCGCCTGGCGCTCCCCCCGCCCCGCAGCCTCTCCCTTAGGGCCGCCCTGGGAGGCTGGAGAGGGAGCCTCGGCGGCCACCCACCCGCCCGGTCGCCCTCCAGTCCCCGGGAGGCTCCTGGCGCTGGGCGGGGCTGACCCAGGGGAGGCTGCAAGAGAATGCCGGCTCTTCCCTACCAGCCGCTCCTCCTTGTGCCGGCCACACGTCCAAGCGCTCGGCTTTGGCACCCATCGCTTTTGGGGCTCCAGGCGTTCCCGACAAGGGCAGCTGGCGATCCTCCTGGCGGCAGTACAGCTTCCCGTTGGAAGGACCGGGGAGGGCAACTGGTGGGCATCAAAGGAAAGGACCGCAGGCAGAAGGGCAGATGATAGCTGTCAATCAAGGGCAGCGAAGTCTGCGACCAGGAGAGAGGGGGGCGATCCTCCTTCATTAGGGCAGAGTTCTCTTCCAGCCGAATGCAGAATGTTGGGGGGTGGAGGCGTCTTTGGGACATTAGAGGAGCTGCATAGCTGGGTGGGGGAGGAGACGGCAGCTGGGGTTGGAAAGGTAGTGGGAGGGGGGGAGATCCCCGTCGGCAAGAGGGCTCCTGGTCATGGGACTTTGAGAGAAGCCTCCAGGTGAGTCAGCTTAGGTGGGACGCTCCTCCTGAGCCCCCTGCTAGGCAAGCTTGCCAGGAACATCTTGTTGATGCAGGAAACCGCTGAGTCAGTTCCCAGCCCCTCCGCTTGACTGTTCTCAGAAAGCCCTTATCCAGCAAAGCTGTCTGGCCCTTGGACCCAGGGACAAGCTCTGCTGTCAGAGAACTTTCGCCTAGCACTCCAAGGAAGCCAACCCACCTCCATCTGACCCTTCCCTTGGCCAGCAAGGCAGATTTTCCAGATGGTCAGATTTGTCTATGGCTCCAGGGAATTTATACAGGCGTGACCTGTCTCAGAGGAAATTTGGCCATGTGCAGTGCCTGCTTCATCCCACTTCTTAAAAGGCAGCTTTCCAGATCTTTGCATGCTGGGATGAGTGTGTGCAAAAGCCCATTCAGGCCTAGCTGTCTCCAAGGAGGGCCCCGCCAAACCGCCTTCCTTGCCTGCTTGGGGTGGATGTTCAGAAATGCCACTCCTGCAGAACCCGGCTGTTATAACCGAGGGGGCTGTTACGTTCAGCGTTCATTACTTTGGAAGCAGAGTCTGGATGCTGAAATTGCCTCTTGTAGTTGAGGGATTTAGGAAGAACAAACCTGGGTTCTGGGTAATAAGGACCTTTCTGGAGACTTCTAGAAACCCCCCTGGAGGGAAAGCAAGGCTGTGACTTCTGCCCCTTCAAAACAAAACAGCAAGCTCAACCCTCTGTTGCCTTGACCCTTTAACTTCTGGCTGGTCCTTGGTGGGTTAGGGCTTCCACTTTCAAAAGTCCTGGATTGTTTACTTCCACTCAAAAAAAAAGCAGATTTCTGCCATTTTGTTCTTTTTTACTAAAGCTTCAAAATGTTTTATTTTACTGCATGCGCTATGGAAGCGCCTGGGGGCCAAAAGACATGCTCAGCCTTTGAATGCCAGTGCCTGCCCCCATCAAGGTCACTTCACCCAGACTCAACCCAACACTTGTGTTTCTATCACATGCTTTGCCCAAACACATAAATCTATGATGGTGTGACATGTTTTGTGATTTAACAAGATACAGCTTACCATGTAGATAACTTCCTTTTCCATATACCCTGAATCACAAGATACAAAGCCCATTTTACCCTGGTCTAACATGTCTTGTGAACTAGACCAACAAGCATGAGCTGCTGTTGAGCAATACAACATGGGTGCCAATAGTTTTCTTTGCATCTTTTATTAACATTCAACACTCCACTTTTCCCAGGGTTTTGTTATGGAAACCTGCCGGCAGCTGCTTTTTGGTGCCTAGAAGACACAATCATCTGCACTGGACTCCAGTCATTAATCAGATCACTATCTGAGGTTATTTTGCTGGGGCAGTTCCACACAATTCTACCTTCACATGGCAGTTGGGAGAAAAAGCTGCACACTGAGTGACCCAAAGAACAGATCTGGGTTTGAAACGCACCCTGCATTAAGCCTCATCCATATCACTGGGGAGGGGGTGTGGAGCCTGGTGAATTCAAGTGAGGCACCAAAGCCAGGGAACAGGGGCTGAGGAGGTGTACACCCTCCCTTGCATGCCAACCAGTCTCCCTTTCTCATAGCACACTTGCACAGCTGCACACTTACGTGTGTTACCTAGGCAATAGCAGCAGCACCCCTGCATGAGCCATTCCGAGTGGGAGAGATGCCTCATGTTTGACATTACAGCCCCAAACTTTGAGGTGGTGCACGCAGAGATAAAATCCATGCTTAGATTGTTTTATTAGTTTTAAGAATGTGTGCAAGGAAGAGATTCACTGAAAGCCAAAGCTGGTTCTCCTTTTATGATGCTACCAGTGTTAATATGGAGTTATGCCATCTATTGCTAAACCTTCATCTCCCTCTTGCCAGTATGAAGGATGAAGTGAGGCCATTATACAGCTGCACCCAGTGCTCCTCCTGAGGTGACAACTGGGACTTCTGCTGCTCAGGCCCCTCCAGCAGCACCCCCTGCCCCACGTTGGCTTTATTTCAAAGCCCACATCCCATCCCACCCACCAGGAGAACGTCCTACATGTAGGTCCAGCAGGAAGACCAGTGGGTGGCATGGCAGGTCAAGGAGGAGGAGGAGAGGGCTGCTGGAAATGTTCAGGGCAAGGAGCGGGTGCCTTTCCGGTCCTGGCATCACTCTCTGCCTTCAGCCATAGCTATGGGGACTATGGAGACTGATGGGAGAAGAATCCTGGCGTCCCAACTGGCCCTTCAGTTGCCAAAGGCGGTGGCTGAGGTTTTGCACTTGGCAAGTGCCCAAAGCACAACCCACGCGCATTAGTTGGGCAGCACGGCGCTTTCGTCGAAGGGCTGGCATCAGTGCGGGCTGGGGCAGAGGGCCATAGCCAAGCTGCAGTGGGTCCAGTCTGGGCCTGAGGAGCTCTCGGAGGGGGAGCAGGCTATCTGCCATCCCAGTCTGCTTCTGAGCCAGCCAAGACAGACTCTTCTTCGATAGCCTCTTGGGAAGCCAGGTAGAATGGTGGTTTGAGTCCCAAGGTTTCCTGTAAAAAAGGAAGAGGAGACACTTAGAGGGACCCTGAATGGGCAAGAAGGAAAGAAGAGCTGGAGGCGGAGAGATGCTGGGCTCAGGTGCTTCTGGGTGAGAAAGGGGGAATAGACTGAGTTTGAAAGATTGGAGAATCCATGGGTATAGATCCATAATATGGTTAGTCTGGGGGATATAACACGATGCATATGTGCTGGCCACAAGGTGTTTTGTGAGTTGTGTGAATTCTGCCTATAGGAATCGTTTTTCATGGCAGTTTATATTCTCCCCCCAAATCAATCTCAGTTGCCACAGGCAGGCATTAGCTGAAGTCAAGCAGCATTATATATGTATATGTATATATATATATAAAAGGCTCATTTGTCATACCTCCCCTGAAGTATGAGGTGGCGGATCTAACAATGCACTCCAGGTTTCCTGAGGCTGGTGTGTGTTGGAGAAAAGCTGCCAAAACCTTTGATTGGGCCCCTCTGACTTGGTGTTAGTTGCTGCCCCTCCACCCAGGTGCCCCAATTAACCTATCGGCTCCTTTCGTCTTTATTTCGGCCTCTCGGTTTCTCATGAGATTTCTAAAGATGAAGCTGAAATGAGAACATTTCCATTAGCAAAGGCTGATCAGGAAGTTCTTGCAAATATAAAAGCTGAAAGAAGAAAATGAAGCATCTTGGATAGAGCTGTACTCTGGTGCTTCTGCTGCTGCCCCCTGTAGGGAGGAATGGGGAAATCATCTGGCAGATCCTTTGGGATCAGTACCCAGAAAGCCTGCCTTCTTTTGGGAACAGCTGGGCAAATCACTGTCATCCTTGCCCTCCAGGGGAAAGAGAAGGACCCTGCAATGAACTGCATGGCTCCCCAGGAGGTGAGGCCAACATGGCTTCCTTCTGGTGGGCCTGCAGGAGCAGCCCAGCAACCAGTCTCTGCCACAGCCTCTACAGGGGCCAAGAAGCTAAGATTGGTGTTTCTAGGCTGCATTTTCAGGTGGATAATAGCTGTGGCTCTGCCTCTCAAAAGCCCCCGGTTGCTGAGAACCTGGAGAAATCGCTTTTCCACACAGATAGAGAACAGTATACTTTTCCATGCATGGAATCTGAATCCCAATCTAGAAAAAAATAAACAGCAGAATTGAAATGGAAAACAAGATTCTACAGCCATTTGAAACCAATTTAAAGTTTAAACACTGGCTTTTCACCTGCTCTTTTTTCCCTTTCTTTCAAGGGGGTGGGGGCAGAGTCCCTTCTTCCCCATCCTCAGGGGCCAGAGCGGTGCTAACAGGGAGGCAAACACTGTCCTTAATCCACATCCAGGAGGAGGGAGCTCTCCGGGAAAACCAGTTGCTCCCTTCAAGCCCCACATGAAGGCCGGCACTGGGTTTGCCACTCAATCCCTTCCAGGCCTCAAGACAGCCGGCTGAAGTGCCTTCCTTCCAGGGCAGTAAGGGCAGAGGGAGGAGTGGAAAGGAGGTGGAAGATGGAAAGGGGAGGCCAAGGGGAGGAAAAAAGTGAGGTCAGCGACAGAATCCCTGGCAGGGAGCCTGGGAGATGGCCAGAGGGCGAAGTGAGGAGGGAGGAGCACGTGCAGAGAGGAAAGAAGCTACCTGTCACAGGACACGTACACTGGTAGCCACCCAAGAAGAGTGTGCACAAACACCAGCTGCATCACAGGCACGAGCCTGCACACCCAAGCCGGCTTACACAGAAGCTTTTCATAGTCAGCACCATTTCGGATAGCTCACCAAAACCTAGGGTGGGGCTGGCAGAGTGGAAGCGGGGTTGTGACTTGTGTGACTCTGTTAAAGCAGAGAATGCCTGGTTTCCAAGACCGTGCTGAGGGCGAGGAAGGAAGATGGGGTGCGCCCTCTTGTGCATCTCATGCTGCATCCACTCACAGAAAGCTCCTTCCTTGTGCCTTTCCTTGCATCGCTCCCCCCCCCCCCCCCCCGTCCCAGCCAAGCCCTTCTGCTAGGAGCCGAAGAGGACATCAAAACGATTCACAAGCGTCTCCCCTTTCCCATTCAGATGCATCTTTCAGGGAACCACAGGATGGCTGGGAAAAAACTTCCTGAAAAATGACACCCCTCCAATTCAATGCCTGATGGTATCGAACAATGTGCCCAGCAGTTCCTTGGCTTTGACCCGACCATAGCCTGTGACTATGGCCGCTGGCATTTCCTCTTCTGCCCTGTGTTAGCAACCCCATCCCTTCCTGCCAGATGGATGGAGTGACCCGCAGGCTTTAGGGAAGCCAGGGAAGCTCGTGGAAACCTTTCCAGCTGTCTTGGTGAAAATCCCCACTGAGGTGGGTGGAGAGCACAGTGTGCTCCGTGGTGGGATACCACACTCAGGTTTGATTCAGACAGTGCAGGGCCAGGTTTCAGTCCTGGGAGCCGGAAGCCTCTCCCACAGCCTAGCCGGTGCCACAGAGCTGGTGGGGAGAAGGTGGGGTGGTGGAGGGAAGGCCTCTCAAAAGAATTTGTGGAATACATTGTCCTGATGCCTAGTTCTTAATGTGTAAATAACAAGATCTTTGCAGGACCATTATGGCTAACCAAAACTTAGTCTTTTGTCTGCATCCTTTTCCATTTGCTGCTAGGGAGGAACCGTAGATTTGTCTTAAGGAGGAGAGCCATGGCAAACACCAGAACGCGTCTGGAGCACTGCTCTATGTTGACTAGGTCTTTAGGCAGAAAAGATCTCGCCAGGACTGGAATACTGCAATGGGCTCTACATGGGGTTGCCCTTGAAGTGCATCCGGCGACTACAGTTAGTCCAGAATGCAGCCG